TGCAGCACGATGTGGCATTGATTCCCCAAGCCCTATCGGGACCCTCCGAATGAGTTCAGGGCGGTTTCATTTCCAAAAACTCAGGTCTGGGTAAGTTACTGACGAAAATCACAGAGAATTCATTTAGCAAAGAAGCGCAATAAGGACACTTCATAAGGTCACATATCGAGATCATGCTAATCCATTATTAGAGTCAAAACGTAAAGATCTAGTCGAGGCTTCAAAATGCACAAATTATGTTAAAAGCAAGAAATAATCTACTTCCGGGAAATGTCCAAAGATGGTTTATGGATGTAACGGGTCCAGAACCCAGAAGCAGCACACCTGAACTACCAAAACCCAGTTAAGGTCTTTACTTAAATGCACAGGATTTAAACTCCGCCACCAGGGGGCTCTCGATCAAAACAATAACAACTGATGACGTTGAGGCTGGTGGGGAATCATTGGAGTGATTCTCTGCCAATCCAAATTCTAAACATCATAGAGAGCTGTCTCCCCCCCCTCCTCTCTAGAGTCCATACTCACTCAGGTCACCATGTGGTGGACTCTGAAGCTTCAGTGTTTATCCAGCTCTGCATGGGTCTGTAAACCTTTCTGTGTTCTAACCTCTCTCCATTTTTCAAAAGCATCTCCAATATTGATCCTAGTTTGAGCACGTTTCTGCTCGTGGAGCTTATTAGAAACATGCAGAGGCTTTTTAGGTCGGGTACAATCACTTCTATCTGAACCACTTCTCTTGACCGCTTCCATCGCTGCAACACCTGTTGACCTGATAACTGCTCTCATATCTGACAAACTGAGGGGCGTCCAAAACGGCCGTGTGGGGGGGGTCTTAAAAGCGCCTACCTTCTCTGGTCCAAACAAATCCAGAGCATTCAGGAGCAGAATCTAAAGTTAGAAGGAGGACATACTGGCTGCTGCATTGTTGTCAGAGAAGCCAGCACTTCAACATAGCATGTTTCCTTAATGATCAGATAGTAAGATACCTTTATCATCTCACTCACTACACAGCTCACTGATTGGACCTTTAAGGTTAGGGGAGATGTGGACTGAAAAGAGGAAACTGTCTGTGTTTGTGTTGCTTTACATTTAAAACATTTATATTCTGTTCTCTTTAAGGGTGAGTTTTTCTCAGGTTGTTTTTGCCCTGATCCACAGAGAAGCTGAAGAATCCCTTTGGTCCGGGTTATCTTTCCTTTGTTTTCTGTTTTTATAGTCAGTCACAGCTTTAAAAGGCAGATCTATCGCACTGTTCCTGCGGAAAATAGATGGTGCAGCCAATAAGTCTTTATACAACACGTCTGGCCTGTGAGATAAGAGAGGTGACAAAATGATATACATGCTGTTGTGTATCGGCTTTACTTACAGCAGCAGGGGAGGAGTAAATTTCTCCCCAACGTAAGAAAAAGATAACAGGGGAGTGTAATACTTATTACTGACATGCTGAGTGTCTGTTTCTAAAGAAGCATTATTGATTCCCTGCTGACAAAACTCTGTGTGAAAGACACTTCAGAACCGGCAGGAGAGAATCTCGATGTGAGGGATGGACCGGCTGCTTAGGCTGCAGGATGTTCTGTCCTGGAGGTCAGGCAGCAACATATTGATCAGAACAACAGTTTTTTCTTCTTTTATTACAGTAAGAGTCCACTTTCTCGTGCACACACACACAAAGCGTGCGTGCATGCAGACAGACGCAGTGTCTTAAATAAAAGCACAATTACATGCACATAAAGAGAAGCCGGAGTATATCAGTCGGAGCTGTAAATACGAGGCAGCCAGTGGACAGACTTGGCAGTGGGCCTTGAAATGCTAGCAAATCAATTGAATGCACACACCAAACACACACACACACACACACACACACACACACGCACACACGCACACACGCACTCCTCCCACATAAAAGTAGAAAAAAATAAAAACAGAGTTTTTATTGGACGCCTAGAAACGGTCGGTGATCAAACTCCAACAGCCAAAAGAGCCACAGTGATTTAGTGGAACGAAAATCCATTATGGCTCCATCCAAAGGTAATGACTTCTTCAGGCCTTCCAGCTGATTCTCCAGAACACGAATGGGAGGGAATAACACGGGCACGCACGCACGCACGCACGCACACGCACGCACGCACACACACACACACACTGAACAAATCAGGCCTTTGTAGAGAACAGCGTGGAAGATCACACACTGACACCACCTCTCTTTAACCGTTTCAAAGCTTCAATCACTCTCAGTGACGGCGAGCAGCATCTCTATTTACACTGAACTCAAATCACTGTGCAGAACCTGCAGCCTGCTGCCGACACACAACCACCAGCGGAGAGCAGTAACAGCACAGATGTGTCATGTTTGATAAGATTTTACATAAAAACGAGTAGATTCTGTACACAGGGGGTCTGGCTTTTTTCAGCATGGGAAGAGTTCTGGTTCCTGTTTGGAGAACATTTTATAGTCCGAGCTGTACCAACCTATTATGTATTAGCAGACATTCGGTGTGTGCAGGAAAAACCAAGAAGCAGGGGAACGTAATCTGCTCGTAACACCCCCCCATCAGCGATATTCTGACGATGATATATTCGTCTCTATAAACAGATATTTGCACAGAAGTGCATCTAAAAAATCAATTACAGATCAAACATTCCTACCTGAGCTACACATTGCTTCTTGATGCTGTGTCGCAAAAAGCAAATCGAAGTTTGGATTTCCCGACTACCTAAAAAGCATCACAAATTATCAATCCAAACTCAGTTCAACGAACAAACAGTTCAAAGTGTTTCTTCTTCTTCTTCTTGAGGACAGATCCAACACAGCTTTCATTTTGACTTTTTTATAAATCTGCATCCTGGTGATATCCTTCAGTGCACGGCTAGGAGTGATGTATTTTGATCTCTCTCTGGTTGTGCAAACATCACATATCACCAGTAGAATCACTGAAATTGCACCCTGTAAACAACTCTAAAGAGGAATCATTACAGGCTATTAAAACAGCTGCTGACCTGCTGATATCCTGAACACAACATGTGGTTCCAGATAAACATTTCCAAATGCTGACGGCAGAAAAAAATCATTCTCAGCTTTTACATGTTATCAGGTAGATTTTCTGTGAATGCAAAACAACCAATATTACCAGCAGTAGGCTGTGTGTGTATGTGACATGATCATTTGTATGTACAGTGCTCAAGCCTCCCACAACATTCTGCTCAGCCTCGAAACAGAAACTGCAGAGATGACCGGAGCCCACAATCTAAACATATTGAATGAATCACTGAGTGTTGCCGGAGGAGCATGTGGCGCACAGTGAGTTAGCCTTTCACTGCACTTCTTTAAAAAGAAAAATCCCCACAGTGTGCAAGAGCGGTTTGGACCAAACATCCAACAGTCCATCGCTCCTGCATGGAGACGATGCATCTACAGTAATGCACCCTTCTGCTAACAGTTGTAATGAGTCCTGCAGAAAATGCTGCATGTATTAAAAGATGCTACCCTCAAAAAACCTCCCAAACACATGAAGCAGGTCTGTCAGCGTAAGAAATAAGGCGATGATGTAAAACAGATTTCCTGGCAGACAAAGATTTCTATTGTTTACTTTATCTCGGGTTGATATTATAAATATTCAACCACTCTGCGGTGTGAAAAATGCATCATCACCCAGCGTGGAAAGGTGCTGTGGATCAAAGGGAATAAGAATGTGGCGGTGGCACGACAGACGTATCATTAGCAAGCCGCCGGGCAGCTATTAAATCTTATCTCATACATACAAACACAAAGGGCAGACTGACTTTGTGAACCTCTTTTTTTCCTCCCTGAACAGGATGTGTTACTTTGTGTTGCTTGTGTGGAAACACTTTGTTAGCATAGCTTAGCTTCATAAGACTTGCCATGACACAACAAACACGCCCGTGGAGCTTCATTAACTATAAAACCCAGAGCCAGCTGTGGGTCAATGTAATAATTGCCGCCCCCCTAAATAATTACAGCGCGAGAGTTCTTTACGGAGGGTAAGTAACAGACTTTAATCCTGTAAAGTAGCTAATTAAAGGTTGGCAGCTGCTAATGCTACTAGCCTTGCTTCTGGTATTAAAATGAAGGGCGTGCATGGTGGCTGCTTTTTTTAATTTATGTTTTGAGAGAAGGAATGATAAATGCTGGAAATGAACAGACACAAGCAGACTGAATTAAATGAAAACCAAAAAAAAAAAAACAGGCAGAAAGTCAGAATGTTAGCGAGGATCCTTGCAGCTTGTCTTCAAGACACACGGAGCTGTGAGTGAAACACAAGCTCACCCACATCAAACCAGCGAAGCCTGCCAACGATAACAGCTGCACTTCGGTGTGGGCAAACGTTAGCACCTGAACCCCGGGACCTGAGCATCTATACCTTCCTCTCCCCTCTATCTGCTCGGCTGTCTGTTTTCTAGATCAGCGCGACCACGTCGGACAGAGCCAAGCAAAAAAAAAAAACCTGGAGCTGACACAAAATGAAAGCTCAGCATGCACAAAAAGCCATATTAATCCTATTGAGCTCTTCAGCATGATCGACAGCACAGAGTCCACTAATTAATTCAGGATCATTCTACACAGCAGACACAGTGAACGCACGGTGCAGAGACCTCATCTGCATGCACGCTGCCCTTTAGTATTGATCCAGCTGTATGTGTGCATGTACGGGTAATTGCAAATGTATGGCTTTCTGTAGGATTAAACTGCAGATTCTCTGAATATTACTGTCTTACATCATCCATTCCACAGGGGGAGAAAATATTTTCCCTTCCAAATGAATTCCTCTATGATATGCAACATGAGCCTAGCAAAGCGTCTGGACTTCTACAGTATCAGCATATGTGTACATTTTCTGGTGAACAACGGTCTTTTGAAGAGAAGATTAGCTGCGGGGATGGACTGAATGGCGCAGTGATGCAACGTGCAGAAAGGCAACATAAAAACAAAGCTATCTGTCTGCCCGCCTTGTCTGCTCATCTGACTATCTGTGCAGACTTACCTTTCATACCGAATTTGGAGCGCCGGCCGTATTTGTTGATGAGAACAAATAGGACGAGGAGGAGGACACAAGCGAAGCCCGCCAAACCCACAGCGATGGAAACCTGAGAGAAATAAGGGAGCACTGTTAGATTTAAGCAGAAATAAAAATGCTGTGTTCACATCATAATCAAGATTTACAGATTTCTGATCACCTCAAATACTGAACAAAATGCTAGATTGTGATAACCATTTATTTTTTCATAGATTCCAGCAGCTGCCTTTGCCGCGATGTATTCAAGTCGACAGGATGTAATTTAAATATGACGCTGGAGTGAAAGCCACATTTACAGCCGGTTCAGTTTGAGGAAATAATATGAAGCTGCAACGTTAAAGTTACAAGCCTTTAATGAACAGTGCAACTGGTAATATGTGTCCATATTAGTTAAATACTGAGACTTACTGAGCGCTGTATAGTGGATGCATTTTAGTGAAGACTGCTGCTTTTTTAGTTTCCACAGCACAATGTACTTGTTAACACCATCATCAGGATTTAATGTTCTAATCTTTAATGCAATGGAAAGCATCCAACGAGCAGCTGTTTTCACGCCTGCTCCGACTGTTAACTAAACCAACCTTTAAAGAATTATTTTTACTTTCACGCAGCAGAGAATGTGAGCTTGTCATAGCCAACCAAAGCCTGTCAAATGTTAGGTAGCCACTTGTCACTAGTTGGGGCTGTAGCTCCGGCCAGTGGCTGTTTCCATCCAGCCTAATGCTGCACTATGACCCTGAAGTAAACAACAGGACAGTGGAAGAATGGCGTCCTGTAGCGTGGGGCAGTGTGTCAGTATTTAGATCTATAAAATGAAGAGAAAGTCATATGTAGGCTGTGTCAGGTTAAACTGGCATATCGACCAGAGTGATGAGTAACCACAGGCTGTTTTTGATAGCAATGCTAATGTTAGCCATGTTGGAAAAACCAATTTGACATCGTTTACAGACGGCCAATTCAACACACAATGCACTCTTTTTGTTTCACTTCCCTCGTTTGGTCCGGAATGCGTTCTCACCTACGGCAAACAGAACTCCGGTGCAGTTGAAACAAACCGCGATTAAAGCCGACCAGAGAATGTTTGAGCATAAACACCACCCTGAAGAAAACAGACTATCCGACAAAGAGCACCAGAATTCCTTCAAACGGACCAAACTGCTCAGGTGTGAATGCATAAGAAGTTGCAGGTAACGTCCAAGAGTAAAAAAGTTAAGCCAATGCTGAAAGGCCTCAAGCTTGCTTTTGTATCAAAATGTGAGCAGGGCCAGAATTCTGTTTAGTTTGAAGTCAATGTGAAAATGGTTCTACTTTGACTCCAATCAAGACCTCAGAAAACAAGAATCTGTTCTCAATCACCACTCTGAATTATTCTGCATCAAGTTTGTCTTGGAAATGTTGGTCTAATTTATAAAACAATAGATGATATAGCAGGGTTGTACTTAGACATAGACGTTGTCTCAGTGACGTCGCCAATAGGTTTCTAAAGAAGCATTATGAAGCTCAGAGATGGTGGCCACCATATTGGAAATGCTGACTCTACTTAACTTCAGACAACTAGTAACCTGCTTAGAGGTAGAGTTGAGGCAGCCTTCAGCCTCAAGTGGGCACTCAAGGAACTGCAGTCTTTGGCACTTCATCAGTGGAGGTTGCCGCTTGGTGGCTACCTGTGACGACAAGTCTCTACCTCAGCAACTTCTCTAGATTAATGCAGGCAACAGCAAATTTAAGTCATCCTGCATTGACGTCGCTTAATAAATATTAAAATTGAACAGCCAATTACCAAAGACTACAAGAAGATATTTAAGAAACCAATCGGTGACGTCAAGGTGGCTCGGCCAATTCCTGTACACTGTTTGTGGTCATATCAGCTCACTGGTAGGACTAATGCATCACTGCACAGTATGGAGCTGACGCAGCATGAACTCAACCAGGAGACAGAACACACTGTGAAATCTCACCTCAGTTTCCTGCTAGAGCATTTTAAAATGTCTGCCAAAATCTCTTTTTATAAACACAACTACAGTGGAAGACCTCACTAGTGTGAAAAAACACGAGATCTCTTGTTATGTAACGTTAAAAACAAAAGCTGCAGCAAAGTGCTTCCACGGTCAACATCATTAGCGTACAAACATACAACTTATAACAATGACTTCTATTCTTAGTGCTAAGAGTCTACACACAATGCAAACCGCTACTAGGGTCCTCTGACAGATTAGACCCACATTATATTTGTGTTGCAACGCGCAGCAGCTCGGTGTCGAGTCCACAGGCGACATCTTTAGCAGCTGTTTCATCAACATCATTAAGGAGAGAACTCACCCCAAATGTGTCTTCATCTGGTCGGCCTAACTCTCCGTCTGATGGCGTTGGAACTGCAACAGAAAAAGAAAAACACAGAGCGGGCATGAGAAGCTGTAATGAGAATAAATCTTTAATGGCTGTGGTTTACTCCAACACTTATTTACTGTCGATATCTGTACAAAGCCAAACAGTCTCTTTATTATGAGATAGCTTTCAGCTGGAAATATTATTTTGGGCCTACTTATTTTTATTTTTATCCTTTTATAAAAACTCTTGAAGAGGCAGCTCCTTCATTTTTTGAGGAATAAATAAAAGTTTAATTTTCTCTCGACGTGGACTGAAATTCTCAAACTTCTAGGAAGGAAGCGCATTGATGTGAAAAGAAGGAACCTTCCTTCGCCTTAAAGGATGAGACAGTGTTGATGCATGATTAATATTTAATATCTAATGTCTGAAGTTAGAGGCCTGCACAGCCTGGAATGCACACTACTGCTTATCACCTGTCTCAAGGATTAAACCAAAACTTTAAAGGTCACATATCCTCATCTTCAGTTTAAATAAGTCTCAGAGCTCCTCAAAACATGTGTGTCAAGTTTCTTGTTCTAAATTCCACTCTGATCCTGTATTTGATCATGTCTATAAACCCCTCTATTTCAGCCCTGCTCAGAACAGGTTGTTTCTGTGTCTGTACCTTTAAATATGTAAATGAGCTGTGTCTGACCACACCCCCTCTCTGGAAGGGCTTGGGTGGGCTCGGTGCTTTCTCACTCCATGCCCTATTGTTTACGGTGAGAAGGCAGACTCAGAGGGCAGAACAAACACCTAGCTGTGGGAGTGTCACCCACCTGGGGGAGGGGCTACTGCCCTTTGTGATGTCATGAAGGGAAAATCTCCAAACAGCCTGTTTGAGCACACATTTTCTGAAAAGTGGAGCAGGCAGAAGAAGAAGAGGATGGACTTTTCTCATCATTGGGGCGTTTGTAGAATAGAGACACATATTAGTGTTATAGTGGTGAAGTGTGTTGTGAATAATATGTGACCTTTAAATGTGCTTTAAAATCGGATTCAAACCCGAGATAAGAGTAACGTAGAGCAGTATTTTATAATAGTTACACCAATGCATGCTCAAGCTTGTACATAGAAAAAGACAAAGACTTGAAACGGCTTTTTGAAAACTAAACACAACAAAGTGAAGGAACACTGAAAAGAAGCGTAAAAAAGCCAAGAGCACCAAATGTTAACGAAGATTAAACCAAATCAGCTGTAAAATGCATCCAGACAACTCAAAGTTGACGTCTTTATTTAAAATTAAAATAAATACTGGACCCATCTTTTCAGACAGAAGCGGAGCCTGCTGGACTCAGGGCAGCCGACAGATCTCTCAAGTCTACAACGGTTAAATCAGGACTTGTATCCACGCTCAACAGGAAACAGGAAGGGCACTGAGGAGCGCTACATGAAGGACATTAAAGTGTGAGTTGTTTTTTTTTTTTATCTTAACAACTACCTCTATGATAAACTAGTACTGCACCCTTTAAATAACTATTATAATACTTCTCTGAGATTCTTTTGTTGCTATGAGCATGAACAGGAGCGAGCCACTTGAGCGTCATGGTGACCTTGATGCGTCGTTATGGGATGTGTGTACAAAAAGCGCTCAAAGCAACCGCTTGCAGACGGCAGAGAGCTCTTAAAGAGAGGTAAGTGCTCAGAAAAACACGGGGCCCTTCATTTCATAACATCATCTTGAAACCAATGTCTCAAAGCAACATTAAGTAGGAATTCAGTTTGGTGCACTTTGGCGCCCACTGAAGGTCTCTGAGTGTAACTGCATTGTTATAAAACACACACAGTGTTGTTACGCTTTCCTCTCAACGTGCATTTGTAGACAAGCAAAGGATGGTGAGGAGGGGCTTTCCTTATCCAGAAATGCTTCCTCTAAAGTCTTAAATAAAGGTTTTATCATCAAAACATGCTTCCTGTTTCTTTCAGTGCAAATGCAGCGAGTAGTGGTGTTTAAAGTGATTCTGTACTGGGAGCTTTCTTTGATAGGGGATATGGATAGCCTCTGCTGTTGTTTGTGCTATGGCAGCATTTTTCAACAAGGCAGCACATCTGGACACAACACCTGCAAAGAGCCATGTCGACTAACAAGGTCTAATATTTCCTCTAGTCCGGCTTGTTGCTCTCTCACTCACTCTTCATCCCTCTCTGTCTTCTTCCTCAGCCATCCAAAAATCCACTTGTGTACTGTTTTGGAAAATATATGTGGGTAACCTGAGAGTCTACTGACCCACAAAATGTGAAATAAACCATCCAGTCCTTTGTTTGTGGTCTGCATAAGTCTTACGACACAGAGAAAAATGCTCTGTTTCAAATGTGCTCTCCTTGTGATGTCACAGTGGGATTCTGGTAAAAAATCCCCTCCCCTGGTATCTCCACCCATGGACTCCACCCCCAGCCTAGAACAAAACTTTTGAGCAGGTCCGCCATTTTTATTTTCTCTACAGAGGAGTAATGTCTACGAGAAAAACTTGGGGGGGGGGGGTCATTACATTTAAAGAGACACACACCAAAACGGAGCGTTCTGAGAGAGCTGGTTTATACAGGGTCACAAACCTCCTCTGGTGCTTGATTCATGTTATATTTTGACCAAAGCACAGCACAGATGTTTCATTTAGACCACAGGGGACTGTTTGAAAAGGTGGAGAAGTGGGATCATATGTCCTCTTTAAGCAGTTTCAACACATGCTCAGGAGGTAGGACACGTGTTTACATCCATGGTTTACAAAATTCCATGTTACAAAATGGCAGGTGAAGCAAAATCTGCTTCTTAAATTGCATTTGTCGTCCACTGGTCCAATGTTATAAACAACATCACCCTATACAGTGAATTTCCCAGACTTTAACCTGCAGCTTTCGCACGTCAGCTTTCCTTTACTTCAGGCGGAAATTCTACAAGGAGGGCTGGCACGAAGAGGTCAGGTTGACAAATGTGTGCATGTATGAAAACGCCATTTATGTTAAATTAAATTCCACATGCCATAACGCCACAGGTACGATTTTTAGCTAACAGCAGAAATCTGAGCACCATGAAAAAGATGAGGACAGAGACTCAGTCCTACGATGAAAATGAGCTGGTGTCAGGGAAACTCCAGTCTGAGGCCTCCAGCCAGGACATCACAGAGTAATTGTGGGCAAATTAATGGCCACATGGTAGACTGGCTGCCACTGGCTCAGGCACACACAGTCTACTGCAGTGATTTGCTCAGTGTGTGTGTGTGTGTGTGTGTGTTTGTGTGTGCCCTAACTACCATCTCTCTCTCTCCTCTCCTCCCTCGGCCCTCCTCTCTCCTCAGCAGCATTAGTATCAGTCAGCCTGTCACTCTGCCTTCTCCGCCTGAACTCCCTCACACACAGCCGCTGTAATGTTTCACACTCACACTCACCTAAACACCTCACCTCTCCTGCCTCGCTCCAAGCAGCTGTGTGACTGTGAGTGTGTGTGTGTGTGTGTGTGTGTGTGTGTGTGTGTGTGTGTGTGTGTGTGTGTGTGTGTGTGAGCATGGTACTGCCTGCCTAATGCAGCTCGCCACGCCAGCCCGCTTCCATCCATCTCCTACCCCTGGCCGCGCCGCAGCTTTATAATCCACGGCTGATGAGAAAGAATGGCCAAATATGGAGATGGAAGAAGACTCTGATGAAGGTCAGAGATCAGACCGGCCTACTTTGTTTAAGCCATCAGATGTGAGGCTGCCACAACAGCCTGAGGCCAAACCACACATCACACACAGGAGATTGAATGTGTGAGGCAGCCAAAGCATCGTTTGGGCAGTCTGACTGCACACACACACACACACACACACACACACACACACACACACACACACACACACACACACACACACACACACACACACACACACACACACACACACACACACACACACACACACACACACACAACCAGCTACAGGGTGGGAAACTTGTTTGTTTACACCGTGGCTTATTAGTCAGAGGGTTACATAAGAATTAACGTTAAGAACGCTGAATTTCAGACACTATTTCTATTAAATAAATGACTCAAACATGAAGTGGCCTTTAGCTCATTTGTCCGATGGCTTACTGGAGCCACTGGGGGATCTCTGTCGGCCTTTACGTTTCTATAAATGTACATTTGATGCACCGTTGGGGCGATATCTAAAGCAACGCCCAATGGTAAGAATTTGGAGGGAGGTGTTGCTTTGACAAAAACAAAGCCAGAAATCTTGAGCATTTCAACCATGTGTGTTTGTCTTCTAAATATAAACTGGAACTCTTGGCATGCCCATCTAACGATCTCGCTGCCCGTAATAGAACGCCAGAGATAGCTCCACGGCCAATGGGAAGAACCTTCTTCAGTATTTTTAGACGTTATAGGTCTGATCAAGACGGGCACATCCTCTGTGTACACCCAGCAGTCACCTCCACTCTCAAAAAACAAAGTCAATGGGAAAGGTGGAAAACACTGCAGTTCCTTGAGTGTCCACTTGAGGCCAGCTCTAAAGGTCCAGAAGTCCCTTAGGCAGTACTTCTATACTCAATGTTTTAAAAAAAAACCTTGGCTAAGAGTTCTGCATAATGACTAAAGTTGGGTCTGTCTCTACTATTTCCAGGGAATTTACATTCCATCGACAAACATTAATAGATGCATGATGACTGTAAGTCAGATTGGTAAGTATCCTTAAGCACTCAATCTTTTAAAGTCTTTCTTTCGTAACAGAGTTTACAACCTACTCGCACTACAGTATGTTATCATGTACATTAGCAAAACAAGCAGATTTAACCATAGACTGTAAGTAGTAGAGGATAAAGCCTGAGTGACGTCACCCATTGGTGTCCATCCCTGTCCATCGATGGCGGCCGATATTGTGGAAATGCTGATTCTCAAAGTTTCCATCAATCTATCGACAGGCACCGAGGTGGAGCTGAGGCGAGCCTCCTGACAAACCGCTACACATGGCATCGTGGAGTCAGATGTGTGCCCATCATTTTATGCATAGCTCAAATCCTTCATAAAATCAAAATGGGTGAGTTGATAAAAAGATTCAACCCCCTGAGGTGTACTGATAAAGACATCAACGATTAAGATTATATTTCTGTACCAGGCTGTTAACATGTTTATTTCTGCCGTCAGAATTGGGCTTTTAAAACGAGGTGTATGTGACTCCTGCACTTTTTCCTTTTTCTGGGCGGCTCAGTGGTAGAGATGGGTTCGATCCCCAGCTCCTGCAGACACTGATGTGTCTTTGGGAAAGAAACTCGTCTGAAATTGTTTGAATTTGTATTAATGGATTAGTTCATTGATTCTCGAACTGTATCACCGCTGGTACACAGGTACCAGGTACAGGTACCACAGGTACCGCTGTCATGGCAACCAGAGGAAGAAAATATGACAGTTAAAATGTTTTGCATTTGTGGTTTCAAACAGGATATATTAGAAAGTAAAGTGCGCTGGATGCGTCAAGCTGATCAGGGCTCTATTTAAAACCTTTTTAATTCGTTCATCTCGCCTCAATAAGACGCTATCAACAGGTGCAGCGGCAGTACGTAAGGGAAGAGGGCTTACTGAATGGTCGACCAAGGCGTCAGAGCCCAGCTGCTGAAGTACAGCTGCTCACCGACCAGCATAAACAGAGTGTTGCATCACACCTGCATCATCAGAGGCATCGAATCTCCACAAGAATAAAGTAAACTAGCAGAGACATTTTTCAGTGAGTGTTGTAAAAAAAACGAGGCTGCGGAGTGGAGCAGCTGTGGTTAGAGACTTAAATAAAGCTTATGTATAAATGATAAGATATTAAAGCTAAGCAGACAGAATTAACCCCGACAACCTGACAAAAAAACAAACAACAGGATCTGACTCGGAGGTTAAACCACTTTAAGGTTAAACCACTTTAAGGTTAAACCACTTTAAGGTTAAACCACTTTAAGGTTAAACCACAGTCTGAGGTGACGCAGACAGGGACAGGTAAATACATAATGTTCTCGCCCTCTCTCTCTCTCTCTCTCTCTCTGTCTCTCTCTCTCTCTCTCTCTCTCTCTCTCCTCCCTCCCTCTCTCTCTCTCCCTCCCTCTCTCTCTCTCTCTCTCTCTCTCTCTCTCTCTCTGTGTCTCTCTGTGTCTCTCTCTCTCTCTCTCTGTCTCTCTCTCCCTCCCTCCCTCTCTCTCTCTCTCTCTCTCTCTCTCTCTCTCTCTCTCTCTCTCTCTCTCTCTCTCTCTCTCTCTCTCTCTCTCTCTCTCTCTCTCTCTCTCTCTCTCTCTCTCTCCATGGTAAACACCTTAAGATTGATATTCCAACGGTAAATCTATGCGTTTGTGTGTGTGCATAAAGACGCCAACCAAACAAACATAAGAATAAGAAAAAAAGACACAACATAAAAAGAGAGAAGAGCAGGGTTACATCTGAACTTAGAAACACTCACCTAGTTCCACTATATCTGCAAAAAGAGAAGACAGAGAAAGTCACGCTATGTCAATAAATTGACACGAGGTATTAACCTTGGAATATTGACCACGGGGAGAAATGTGCTGGTCTTTGTGGGTTTCTTTCCCCCCTTTCCTGTGAACTCAGTATGAACTGTAAGTGAAACATCTACCTGACTGAACTGTGGACGAACCCTGGCTGTGATCCAGCCAGCGGGGAATCGGCTGTAGGGAGATTTTAATAAAAACTTAAAAGGTTCCAATAGTTTTCCATCTAGAATGAAACCTGTAATTCTCCCAACAGGTAGTTTAAAACAAGATATTCAACTAGTTGGAGACTTGTTCCAATCCTAATACTCTTCCCCAAGAAGTGGGCCATATAGCTCTTTTGGGAATCGGGGGAGTAACTTGGCAGGATTTCTTTTCTGCTCTTATGCTTATTAAAATCCAGAAGAATAAAAGGGATGTTCAGGCAGTAAGAAGTGTGTTAATACCCCCTTGTATAACTGCCATTTCACCCCCGAGAATACTCTTGATTGTGATTGTGGGGACATCGCTGTAACCACAAGCGCCTGCAAAGAATAGCAACCTGTCAGGAAGCATCCACTCACCCTCGTCGCTGGGGCCCGGCGCCGTGAGGAAGTGACCGTACACCGTTTTGGTCACCGTTCCCAGAGGGTTGCTGGCCTCCAGAGTGTAGTTTCCGTTGTTGATGTGTGTCGGGTTCTGGAAAGTTAGACAGCCCTCCAGGTAGTCCTGGTAGAAGTCCATCTCGGTGCGGATGTACTCGTTCTGGAGGATCTCTTTGTGCTTGTGGAACCAACGCAGCTTAGGGTGAGGGTAGCCGCGGACCGTGAACTCGATGCAGGTGTCGTGGCGCTGCTCAGGCTCGGCCAGTCTCATAATGACAGGAGGAACTGCGGGGAAGACGGGGAAATAAAAAACATGTTACATCACTGACTGATTGTTTTGTTGTTTGAGGTTGAGATGGGACCTCTACTCGATGAGTTTAACAGTACCAGAGTATATTTTGGGTATCTTGCTTCACTAACCCTGACAAAGAAGATTACGCTGAATGGCGTGACGCTGAATACGCAAATAAAGACCTAAAGAATGACTTTATCATCATTATTTCACAATAGAACTGAATATCGGTTTATTTGTTAAAGTATTTTCTCATATAGGGCCTGACGTAGCTCATGTCTGATGTATATGGAGTGATACAGGCTTATAAAAAAAATGTGAAAATGTAGTTAAAAGCAGTAAGTATGCTTCATTTAAAGGTCACATATATGCAAAATCCTCTTCCCCATGTTCCTCTAACTCTAATATGTGTCTCTAGTCCGTCTACAAACTCCCAAAGATGAGAAAAGTCCATCCTCTCCGTCTTCTGCCTGCTCCACTTTTCAGAAAATGTGTGCTCAAACAGGCCGTTTGGAGGTTTTCCCTTCATGACATCACAAAGGGCAGTAGCCCCTCCCCCAGAGTGGATTTAGAACAAGAAACTTCACACACATGTTTTGAGGAGCTCTGAGACTTATTTACACTGAAGAAGAGGAGGAGGATATGTCACCTTTAAGATTAGAAATAGTGACATCACACTCATAGCATGAGGCAAACTGTGTCCTATTGTTGAGCTTAAACTGATTCTGAAGACCAGAGCTGTTTAGTCTTGTTCCAGGAAACATGACAGTTAGGAGGCAGGTTTGTTACCTGGGAGTGAAAACGAGCTCCTCACTGTGTGATATATATTGCAGTAAAAAGTGGGAGGGTTAGGAGAGTTAACAGACAGAGAGGGATTCCTCTTGCTCAGAACAGACAGCGAAATCTCCTCTGCGTGAACGAGCACAGAGAATCTCTTTCTGACATACAGAAACACACCTCTGAATCCACAACGCCGCCAAGCTGAGAGGCAATTTATCACTTTAATACCATCAGATACATTTCATGAACAATTCATCCCCTGATTTGTCTTTGCAATGAGTCACTGTTGCAGCTACATCATCAAAAGGAAATATTTGGCAGACGGTAATACCTGGCAGTCTCTCTCTCTCTCTCTCTCTCTCTCTCTCTCTCTCTCTCTCTCTCTCTCTCTGTCTGTTCTACATACCAGCCGCCCCCTCACCAAACCTACCAGAGCCACCTCCACACACACACACACACACACACACACACTCATAAAGCACCATTGATTTGTCTGTTACTGGGTCTCAATGAATGCCGTTTCTATAGGCACGAGTGAGCAATCCTGCTAATATGGTGAGATAATGTTTGCACATGTGATGTCATTAAGAGACTCCTGCAGCCACACAGAAGCTGTTTTGTGCAACGCGTTAATCAGTGAAAGCTGTTTCCACACATGCACGCCTAAAAATGTCATGTCAGCCCGACCCTCAAATCTTTCTGAGTTGCTCTATCACACACGCTCCTTTAAAGGAGGAGATTTTCACCAATGGACAGAAAGGCTGGGGAGTCTCCAGTGGGAAGACATGACGTAAAGATTGAGACACAAAAGTCAAAGTGTAATGTTAACAACCTATCCAAGATGGAGGATGAAGCCACAGAGTCTACAATTCTACAATTCACTTAGCAGGCTCTTTTATCCAAAGCGACGTACATCAGAGAGTAAGAACAACACAAGCAAGGATCTAGAAAAAAGGGAACAATGTGAGTAAGAGCAAACGATCAGCTTTGAGTCTGATTGGACACACAGGTGCTGACAGGAAGTGACCAGAGGCAAAGCACAACATTGAGGGCAGTTCTTGAGAGCTCTAATCAGTATAGAAACCATCTTATAAGTCGTCGTTATCAAACAAAAACCATCGTCATTACCATCATCATCATCAATAATATGGAGACCATCATCATTAAGTTAGTAGGTATTCATGAAAGAGCTGGGTCTTTAGCTTTTTCTTAAAGGTGCAGAGGGACTCTGCAGAGTCTGAGACGCTGATGACTGTGTTTGCAATTATATCAACGATACGTGTAATTGGATGTATTCATGGTATCAATAAAAGAGCTCCTCCACACACACACACACACTCATAAGGCACTATTGATTTGTCTGTTCCCGGATTCTAACCCAGAAGGCCTGCTTGGAGGACAACAGCCTCCGTACATGAAGCGGGCGCACACTAACCACTAGGCTACCAGCGTCCCTAATCAAAAATCTTTTACACCAATTAGAGTGACTTTTAGTTGGACCTGAAGTCATATGACCCGGACTTTATTCTTTACCTTTATTGTACTGCACTTAAACACTGTGTTGGATTCATTTATAAACAATAGTCAATTTAAATCGTAATAAAAGTCGCTGTCAGTTTCAGCATTGGTTATGATAACTGTGTCTGATGGCTGCAGAGTGGAACGCTTCTGTTTTAAAAGCAAATAATCATCCAGGACAGAGATGGAAAAAAAACAAAAACATTTATTAGTGTTTGAAAGCTGTCGTTTCATAAATTGCCTTGGTGATATTGTTCCTGCTAGACAATAGTGACAATAAAGTCATTCAATTGAACTAAAGGCTATGGCGTGCGTGTGTGTGTGTGTTTGAACGTGTTGGTGTGGGGGTGTGAGCGGAGCTGTGAATTTGAGTGCAGGAAGAAAGAGAAAAAGATAAAGATGAGAGAGAAAGAATCGGAGAGGAGGGAGGACGATGGGCATGAAATGCTGCTCAGCCTGAAGACAGAAGGAGAGGAAAAAAAAGAGAGAGAGCAAGAAACAAAATTCTCCCGTTGATGGACAGTTAGGGGCCGATCCATTTTCCCGTCGGCGTGGCTGTCAGCCCGGTCTCATTCAATACAATACAAATCAGTACAGCGCTCCGTACTGGTCCGTAACAACACAGTGTCCTCGTGGAGCTCATACAGATGACAAGCTTTGATAACTACACGGCTTTGATCGGAGAGAATACAAGGCTAGTTGTGCTATGTTATCTAGCGGTAACACTGGTGGCTCATTAGAAATGCCATGTTGCAGCCTCAGACTACAGATAGGACATCATGGCTGCTGGTGACAAGGAGAGCAACACAGGACAGACCTCCCTACATATCCCCTCAGGGCTGAACTACACTGTGATTAGGATTTGAACCTGGAAGAAGCAGCACAGAGATTCTTCTCCAGATTAAAGTCACCACATGGACTTGAAGGTTTTGCAGCTCCTATAAGGAAACAGTCAGTCTGAGTTGATTTCGGTACCCCCTCTGGACAAAAATGTACTGCTTATCTTGTTGCTGATTGTGTCTTGTAGCAAGCGGCAAACTCAAAAAAAGAAAAAAGACAATGCAGATGTGCAAAAAAACAAACTCTGCAGTTCCTTCAGTGTCCACTTGAGGCCGGCTGCAAAAAGCCCCTGAAGACCCATTAACACGTAAAAATTCCCAAATGAACATGTTTAAAGTCTGGTTAAAAAACAGTTTTACGGAAGGAATTTGTTATTTATAGTTCATCCCTTTTGATTATATTAAGGCAAAGATTTATGCATAATTAGGGGCGTGGCTGGTCCTGCAATTGGATCATCAGCAGGGGTTTGATAGTGCATGTAGGATGACATGCAAGTAAGAAGCAAGGAGCAATCTTCAAAAAAATTAACTAGAAACTAACTATGTGAGCTGCTACACACCCTGTAGCCTAGCTGCTACAAACATGGCATGCTAGTAGCTGCTACAAGCTATGCAGCAGCTGAGGGATAAGGCATTTTCAGTGGAAACACAGGTGGAAGTCAGTGCGTTGTTCTAAATCGAGAGTTTTATGTTGTGCCTGTAGCACTAAAGGGAAAAACACATGAAGTTATGCAAGTCCACAAAGCTGCAGAGTGGCTATTGTTTGAGACAGCAGCAGGACAAAGGCTCTGCAGAATGTGCATTGTGGTTAATTACAGTCCCTCCAAAATGGGAAACTCATCTTTGAATGCAGAGAATGTTACTTGACGGCTGGTAATTTCCCTGTCAATCAGATTACTCTCTAATCAGAGAAGCAGTTTGAGCTATTTTATGACATTTTCCAGAGACAATAGGCTGCACAGGGGAGGAAATGTAATTACCATCAGAGCATGTGGTGAAAAATTAATAAGTTAATTTGCAGCACCAGCAGAGAGTGTCAACAGAAAGGGAAACTGCCTGGAGATGTACATCCATAGCGTCCGTGTGGAGGAAGCCCTGAAGACCAAGATGTTGCAAAGTCAATCTGTCATTCCTGCATAGTCCTTAGCAGCTCTGCTTCAGTTGGGGAGCGTTTGAATTGGTGACAAATCTCCCCCCTGTCCTGCAGCGTGATGCATTGCAAACAGCCACAATAGATTGTGCTCTACATCAGCCAGCGCGCTACAAAGAGAGAAAAATGTCAGGCACCTTTGATAAATATTGGCTGTGAATACAGTCTGTCCCAAATCTTCCCGGGGCTAATCCACAGGGTGAACTTATGTAAGAGCTGACACGCATGCTGTAATTCACAGGCGGGATATAGTCAGCACATTGTGACGCTTACCCAATCATTACTGAGGGTTATGTTTTTTTTTTCTCTCTTGTCTCTTTGCGCTGAGATCATGGATAAGCTTTCATGCGGGCTGGAGGGTTTATTCTTGCTAATTGGCGACATCAATTTCACTTGGATTGTGACTCTGCAACACCTCATTGCATTCTAAATGTACCTGCATAATTCTCCTGTTCTGCGTGATAAAGGAGATTTTTTTTTCCCCCTGTTGTGAATTATTCTTTGACACTGTCACCGTCTTTAATACAAGATTTATTTCAGCCTCCAACACGAGTCCATCAAAGCTGCCATGAGAGAGAAGAAACCCACCAGACTGTTCCCGGCTCCGAGCGTTCAGACGGGTACAGACTACATCGTCAAAACAAACATTTGTCTTCCTGGACCTCCTCGTTCTTTGATTCAAGTGAAGTTAAACAAAAAACTCACCAACTAGCACTTTCCTCAACAACCAAATGTATACTTTAGTTTTTGATCTGATGCAAGAGGCTGCTAATGCTAAGAGATAATCAGAGGATAAACAGTAAATGTTCCTTTAAACCTTTTATGGAGTCCATCAATTAAAACAGTTTCAAATCTGCAGCCTTTAAACCCTACTCTATAGTACAGTTATTTCTTTGATTTATTTTTGGCCTTTATTTTAGAGACGGGACAGTGCATAGAGTCAGAAACCGGAGAAGGAGAGTCAGGAACAACATGCGGGAAAGGAGCCACAGGTCGGACTCAAACCCACCTGCCCGCTTTCAAGGACCTGAGCCTCCTTACATGGGGTGCTCGTACCAACTGCTAGTCCATCACTGCCCCGAGACGTTAATATTTAACCATTTTTTTCATTTACTTATCTCAAAATATCTTACATCATGCACCTCACAGCGGGAGACGATCCATGTCAGAGTGGAGAACAGGAAACATAATGCAGCAGTTTCAGTGTGTGCAGGCAGATCCGACAGGTCTCGTGCAGTTGTTCGCCCGTCACAGGATATAAACATCACCACCTCCTCCCGTTCGCTCTTGAGGAATTCTCTTGAATATATCCTGCTGCTTTCAGACATCAGTTAACCCTGACTTTGCACGGACAATTTACTATGTGGCTGACAGGAAAGAGTCTAGTTGAAGGAACACTCTGATCCTGTATTTGATCATGTCTATAAACCCCTCTATTTCAGCCCTGCTCAGAACAGACTGTTTCTGTGCCTGTACCTTTAAATATGTAAATGAGCTGTGTCTGACCATGCCCCCTCTCTGGAAGAGCTTGGGTGTACTCGGTCTTTCTCGCTCCATGTCCTATTGTTTACGGTGAGAAGGCAGACTCAGAGGGCAGAACAAACACCTAGCTGTGGGAGTGTCACCCACCTGGGGGAGGGGCTACTGCCCTTTGTGATGTCATGAAGGGAAAATTTCCAAACAGGCTGTTTGAGCACACATTTTCTGAAAAGTGGAGCAGGCAGAAGATGGAGAGGATGACTTTTTTCTCATCATCGGGGGGTTTGTAGACGGACTAGAGACACTGTTAGAGAAACATGGTGAAGTGACCTTTAAAGGAGAGAGTGGGTCAGTGAGAGGAGATACTTAGTTTGAATTAAAAAACGTAATCTTGTGAATCTGGAAGGTCATGGCTTTGGATGGATATTGAAAAAGTTAACACATACATCCAAAGAGTTAGAAATCACAATGCTGACCTTTAATGAGTACCATATGTGTCACTTTGTGCGGATGCATTTCATATAAACATGTTGAAATTAAACGTTAACTTGTTCTCCTGATAAAAAGAAAACCATTCCCAATTTCATTTGCTGAAACAAATTATGTTTTATGAATAAATCATCATGACGGTGCTGGCGCTGCACTGTTTTTCAAACATTATTACCTCTGGCTTTCTGTTGACTCTTCACATTCACAGTCAGCAGTGTGTTCAGAACAGGGCTGACTGCTGCTGACTATCTGGACCGGCTTGTCTCTGAACAAACAGGTGCTGCAGACACTGATGTATGCCTCACTAAATAATTGACTGGCAGCTGCCTCACAATGAAGCTGTCAAGTGAACAAATGTCACATCGACACTTGGAGTTAATACCACCCTTCCTTAAACGGCGCTGTCTGTCAGTAAACTGGAAAATCAATCGTACCAGAAACTATGAAGATTTGACCAAACCGTGGTGCACGTAGTTTAGACACCGCCCCTGGTCAGCAGCAAGATTTCACTACTGTTTGAGCTGCACAACTTCAGACACACCCAACGTCCCGTCTTCAGCCTTCAGTCAGCATCCGTGCAGAAAGAAACACGACTCCTGATGATTATCTCGGTTACTGCACGCTCGATGGAGGCTGTGACTCATTACAAATGTCCACGCTGAATTCAACACTTTGCAAACCTCTACTGACCCTGCATTAATCTTGGATAAACAACATGACACATAAGCCCGGTCATACCAGTGGAGAAGCTTCAGTTTGTCATTCCAACACTTTGATCCAGACTGAAATAAATCACTTTATCTCCAGTTCTCTCACAGGAACGGGATTGTTATGAAGTTGCCTTCTTAGCTCATGTTGCATGGATTGCATTAAAAGTTGGTGCAGCTTGTCATGCTGTATGGAGAGCCCATAGAGGAAGAATGTGCGACTTTTTGATCTAGTAGATGTCGCCCTTGAGCACCAACATTAATTATCAGAACAAACTGCTTTTTGGCCACGCCTCCTCGATACTGAAGCCTCCGCCCTCCGCCCTCCTCCAGAGACACACCTCCAACCCCTCTCCACTCGCGTTCACACAAAGGAGTTACCAATTAGAACGCACCGTAATTAAGCGCCATTAAGCGCAAGCTGCAGACAAAATTGTCCTTGTCTCGAGCTTCAATCACCTGTGTCCTGCATTGTTGTGTTAGCATGCTAATGTTAGCGCTCTTTAGTTAGCTCGTAGCTTCACATTGTTGTGTTAGCATGCTAATGTTAGCGCTCTTAGTTAGCTCGTAGCTTCACATTTCATGTAAACTGACACAGAATGAGCGTGATCTAAAAACTCTTACTAACATCCAAATAATCAGTGAGTATGTTCTTCTTCTTCTCTCTAGTTCTTGACTAAAACAGCTTTTATACACAAGGGGAGGAGCCGGCCGTCCCGTCCATGTAAACACGGCTCTGACAACAACACAGCCAGCGGGACTCGAGCTTCTCCCTCATTGTAGACAGTCAGGACTCAGAGACACATTTACACAGGAGAGATTTATGATTTATTTATGTGGAACATGTTGGACATTCTTCCTTTAACCTTGCCTCTTCCAAAGGTCAGTTAACATGTAAGGTAAGATGCAGAAGAGAAGATATATATTTTTTTTTACATCCAACCATTCCGTTTCGTTGCCACAAATATACATAAAAAGCTGACCTGAAGCAGCTGCAGCACTTTTTAACATCTTTTCTCCCTGATTAGGTCGTAATAGTAGTTAATATAAATTGCCTGATATGACTGTGCTTCCCCTTTAAAACTTTAATATCCAAGAAATGTAGCACTATAGGTCAATTATAAATGAACCAGCATTAATCACACCGAGGGTTAAAATGTTTATTTTAAACTGAATGAATGTATTCTTATATTAAATAAAATACTTTGTGTTGAAGCATTATATGCTTACTTACATGTCGTTGTTTTCACAGCACGCACACACCTCAGGCAAAGCTAGTTAATTTAATCTTTAAACAAAAACCATTTGAGATCCCTAAAGCCTCACCATTGACCTCGATTGTGTTGAACAATAAAGCTCTGCAAATATAAGATTAATTAAACAAATTAGTCTGAATGAGCAAATATTGTGTGTCAACAAACCTTCTTTAACGGGGTAAATGGGCAGCATCAACATGAACTATAAGGGAATAATGTTTGCCTATTAATATGCTAATTTAAGCCCAGAGGTGCACAAAGTGAGGGCGAGTCATCTTTAAGGAGAAGCAGAAATGTTTGAGTGTGGTCAAAGTTATTCTGCATACTGGCTTTTCACTGCAGATGGGTGGATGATGCATTAAAGTTTTAAAAAGTGGGAGAAGTTGGACTCACATTGGACATTGAGCTGGATGGAGGAGTTGGTCATCCCCACCACGTTCTCCGCGATGCAGGTCAGCTGGAAGTTGTTGTCATCGCGGCTGATGTTGAAGAGAGTCAGGTTGATGGAGTGGATGTTCGGCCAGTATACATTAGACTGTGGAAAGAAAGGAGACAGAAAAAAGAATATAGAAATTCAGTAATATGGAGGAGAGTACTAAACTATAACAAGGGTTTAAAGGAGCAGTATGTAACTCTGACCCCTAGTGTTTAAAATGGGTACTGCAGCCCAAATTCCAAACATCATAGAGAGCTGTCTCCCCCCCCCCTCCTCTCTAGAGTGGATGCTCACACGTTTCTGCTCGTGGAGCTTATTAGAAACATGCAGAGGCTTTTTAGGTCGGGTACAATCACTTCCATCGCTGCAACACCTGTTGACCTGATAACTGCTCTCATATCTGACAAACAGAGGGGCGTCCAAAACGGCCGTGTGGGGGGGTCTTAAAAGCGCCTACCTTCTCTGGTCCAAACAAATCCAGAGCATTCAGGAGCAGAATCTAAAGTTAGAAGGAGGACATACTGGCTGCTGCATTGTTGTCAGAGAAGCCAGCACTTCAACATAGCATGTTTCCTTAATGATCAGATAGTAAGATACCTTTATCATCTCACTCTCTACACAGCTCTCTGATTGGACCTTTAAGTTAGCCATACATAATACTTATGATTCCCTCCTTGTCCTTAGTCGACCACGTTACCCAACACTTCACTCATCCTGATGAGCTACACTATCTGTCTCCCCTGAGACATCGGGCCTCAGGCTGAGGTAACTCTCATCTGTAAAGTCACTGAGAGCATTAAAGACATGGATGACAAATGCAGCCGCACAGTTATTTCACAAACTGCTGCTCTCCTCTCCGTGCTGTTTATCTCTCTGCTGCTGTTTTAGATGCGACGCCCCTGAGGCCCGTCTCAGAGAGCCAGATTAGCGAGTTAGCTAACTCACTGTGGGTTCAGCCCGGGCTCCTCAGTCTTAAACAAACAATAACACACATATTGATTAGAGAGCTTCAAAACAGCTTGATCAAAGGCTCCAGCTGTTCTCCAGATGTTGATAAGTGTGTTAGCTTGACTTGATTTTTGATTATTTGACACAAGCCATAATCTTTCAGTCATTCAAGTCAGGGTGAATATTATCCTGGAGCTGTTACTCATGGATGCACAAAATGTCAAATTCGTTGACAAATCTTTATATAGCAGCATCCACCTAAACCCTGAAGACCCCAGAGCCCTGGTTTGTCTGTCACTTCAGGGTCATCCCTTTGGAACTGTAATGAACGGTTAAATTGGACCTTTAATTTCTGTTTTAAAAAAAATCCTTCTCTATTTCCATTACATTTAAAGAGACACACACACCAAAACGGAGCGTTCTGAGAGAGCTGGTTTCTACAGGGTCACAAACCTCCTCTGGTGCTTGATTCATGTTATATTTTGACCAAAGCACAGCACAGATGTTTCATTTAGACCACAGGGGACTGTTTGAAAAGGTGGAGGAGGGGACTGTTTGAAAAGGTGGAGGAGGAGACTGTTTGAAAAGGTGGAGGAGGAGACTGTTTGAAAAGGTGGAGGAGGACTGTTTGAAAAGGTGGAGGAGGAGACTGTTTAAAAAGGTGGAGGAGGGGACTGTTTGAAAAGGTGGAGGAGGACTGTTTGAAAAGGTGGAGGAGGAGACTGTTTGAAAAGGTGGAGGAGGACTGTTTGAAAAGGTGGAGGAGGAGACTGTTTAAAAAGGTGGAGGAGGGGACTGTTTGAAAAGGTGGAGGAGGGGGACTGTTTGAAAAGGTGGAGGGGGACTGTTTGAAAAGGTGGAGGGGGACTGTTTGAAAAGGTGGAGGAGGACTGTTTGAAAAGGTGGAGGAGGAGACTGTTTGAAAAGGTGGAGGAGGACTGTTTGAAAAGGTGAAGGAGGGGACTGTTTGAAAAGGTGGAGGAGGGGACTGTTTGAAAAGGTGGAGGAGGACTGTTTGAAAAGGTGGAGGAGGGGACTGTTTGAAAAGGTGGAGGAGGACTGTTTGAAAAGGTGGAGGAGGAGACTGTTTGAAAAGGTGGAGGAGGACTGTTTGAAAAGGTGAAGGAGGGGACTGTTTGAAAAGGAGGAGGAGGGGACTGTTTGAAAAGGTGGAGGAGGACTGTTTGAAAAGGTGGAGGAGGACTGTTTGAAAAGGTGGAGGAGGGGACTGTTTGAAAAGGTGGAGGAGGACTGTTTGAAAAGGTGGAGGAGGGGACTGTTTGAAAAGGTGGAGGAGGGGACTGTTTGAAAAGGTGGAGGAGGACTGTTTGAAAAGGTGGAGGAGGGGACTGTTTGAAAAGGTGGAGGAGGACTGTTTGAAAAGGTGGAGGAGGGGACTGTTTGAAAAGGTGGAGGAGGACTGTTTGAAAAGGTGGAGGAGGAGACTGTTTGAAAAGGTGGAGGAGGACTGTTTGAAAAGGTGAAGGAGGACTGTTTGAAAAGGTGGAGGAGGGGGACTGTTTGAAAAGGTGGAGGAGGACTGTTTGAAAAGGTGGAGGAGGGGACTGTTTGAAAAGGTGGAGGAGGGGGCTGTTTGAAAAGGTGGAGGAGGACTGTTTGAAAAGGTGGAGGAGGACTGTTTGAAAAGGTGGAGGAGGAGGACTGTTTGAAAAGGTGGAGGAGGGGCTGTTTGAAAAGGTGGAGGAGGGGGCTGTTTGAAAAGGTGGAGGAGGACTGTTTGAAAAGGTGGAGGAGGAGACTGTTTAAAAGGTGGAGGAGGGGACTGTTTGAAAAGGTGGAGGAGGACTGTTTGAAAAGGTGGAGGAGGAGACTGTTTGAAAAGGTGGAGGAGGACTGTTTGAAAAGGTGAAGGAGGGGACTGTTTGAAAAGGAGGAGGAGGGGACTGTTTGAAAAGGTGGAGGAGGACTGTTTGAAAAGGTGGAGGAGGACTGTTTGAAAAGGTGGAGGAGGGGACTGTTTGAAAAGGTGGAGGAGGACTGTTTGAAAAGGTGGAGGAGGGGACTGTTTGAAAAGGTGGAGGAGGGGACTGTTTGAAAAGGTGGAGGAGGACTGTTTGAAAAGGTGGAGGAGGGGACTGTTTGAAAAGGTGGAGGAGGACTGTTTGAAAAGGTGGAGGAGGGGACTGTTTGAAAAGGTGGAGGAGGACTGTTTGAAAAGGTGGAGGAGGAGACTGTTTGAAAAGGTGGAGGAGGGGGACTGTTTGAAAAGGTGGAGGAGGACTGTTTGAAAAGGTGAAGGAGGACTGTTTGAAAAGGTGGAGGAGGGGGACTGTTTGAAAAGGTGGAGGAGGACTGTTTGAAAAGGTGGAGGAGGACTGTTTGAAAAGGTGGAGGAGGACTGTTTGAAAAGGTGGAGGAGGACTGTTTGAAAAGGTGGAGGAGGGGGACTGTTTGAAAAGGTGGAGGAGGACTGTTTGAAAAGGTGAAGGAGGACTGTTTGAAAAGGTGGAGGAGGGGACTGTTTGAAAAGGTGGAGGAGGACTGTTTGAAAAGGTGGAGGAGGGGACTGTTTGAAAAGGTGGAGGAGGGGGCTGTTTGAAAAGGTGGAGGAGGACTGTTTGAAAAGGTGGAGGAGGAGGATGATATGTCCTCTTTAAGTGCAGCTCAATAAGGATTTTTGGTATGAATATCATTATTTGACCAAAAGTAGCGAGATATACGAGAGTATTAGACAATATACTCTCTGTGTGTGTGTGTGTCTGTAAGTGTGCGTGTTTCTCACCAGGTGTGTGTGTGTGTGTGTGTGTGTGTGTGTGTGTGTGTCTCTGTAGGTTTGTGTGTTTCTCACCAGGTGTGTGTGTGTGTGTGTGTGTGTGTGTGTGTGTGTGTGTGTGTGTCTGTCTCTGTAGGTGTGTATGTTTCTCACAGGTGTGTGTGTGTGGGTGGGTGTGTGTGTGTGTGTGTGTGTGTGTGTGTGTGTGTCTGTGTGTCTGTAGGTGTGTGTGTTTCTCACCAGGTGTGTGTGTGTGTGTGTGTGTGTGTGTGTGTGTGTGTGTCTCTGTAGGTGTGTGTGTGTTTCTCACCAGGTGTGTGTGTGTGTGTCTCTGTAGGTGTGTGTGTTTCTCACCAGTGTGTGTGTGTGTGTGTGTGTGTGTGTGTGTGTGTGTGTGTGTGTGTGTGTGTGTCTCTGTAGGTGTGTGTGTTTCTCACCAGGTGTGTGTGTGTGTGTGTGTGTGTGTGTGTGTGTGTGTGTGTGTGTGTGTGTGTTTCTCACCAGGTGTGTGTTGATGGAGTGCAGCCCGCTGACTGTCCAGTCCACTTCAGGCAGCGGTGATCCGGATCCGTTGCAGCTCACCGTCACATTGTCGCCCTCCATCACCAACACACTGCTGTGGCTCACACTGATCTCTGGTAAGTCTAGGAACACACACACACACACACACAAATACACACAAATGTTAGTACACACCTGTCACTGTCAGTGTCGACACATTTTCACACCAAATCAATTAATCACTTTTCATTAATGTAACAGAATTAGTACAAAGGAGAAAATAGGTTACGCATCCACATATAGACACACACACACACACACACACACACACACACACTTTAGATGTCAGGGATGAGTCACCAGCAGCGATAATACTGCAGAGTCTACAGCCTCTGTCAGAATCAACACACAGCTCCTCACATCAGATTCACCCTCTGAACTCTGTCACACCTCCCCCCACCCGCCGTCTCCACTCGTCTCCTTGCTCCTCTTCTCTTTCCTCCATTTCACCTTTTAACCCTTCCTTTCCTTCTCCTGCTTTTCCTGTCCTCTTCTGTCAGCCACTTTTTTCTCACCCTCCACTTTTCCTCCCTCCCCTTTTCTCTCATCTCCTCCCACTTTCCCTTTCGCTTCTCTTCCTTTTTTTTCAATGCAGATCACATTCTTCCTCCTCCTCCTCTTCCTCCTCCTCTACCTCCTCCCCCCTTCCTCCTCCTCCATCTCTTCCTCCTCCATCTCTTCCTCCCCCTGCC